GCAAAAGCGTGCATGCAAGCCTGCGCTTCGGTATGTAGCTCACCGCGGTGGTGGACTAGGTGAAGGCGAAGAGGGAGGACAGAACCGCTCTGCTTCTCATCTGTAGCAGCTGTATGTTGCGATGAGCTGGAATAAAAATAAATGAATAAAATATGCAATTAGGTTGGCAAATTATAATAAAACAAAATAAAATAAATAAATTACCTTGTCCAAGTTGTCAACAGCCCCTTTGCAGCGGTTGTAATCAAGAATTACGGTCGGCTTCTGCTGCGGTCCCTCCTGGATCTCAACCCGATGGTGTTTGGTGCTGAGGAGCAGAACGTTCCGTCTGCACTTCGGTATGTAGGTCATCGTGGTGGTGGTGGAGGTGAAGGCGAAGAGGGAGGACAGAACCGATCTGCTTCTCATCTGCAGCAGCTGTGGGGGCAGCTCTGGCTTGTTGCGCCTAACTGTTCCCACAAGACTCATTCTATTTTGGAGCTGCTCTTCTCCAAGGGCTAGTGATGTGAAAACATTGTCCGTGGTGACAGTGCGGCCGCTCAGTCCCTCGGTGAGCTCCAGCACCACCCACCTCCCTTGCTCCCTTTCTGCTGGGGCGTCTCGCATCATCTTGCTCAGGTAGGGAATAATCCCTCAGGCATGAGAAGAGGCCGCACCGCACACCACCCACAGCTTCATGCCATATTTTGCCGGCTTTGGGGGCATATACTACTTGGAAGTTGCAGCGACCTCTGAATCTGACGAGCTGTTCATCCACACACACATCTTCACCGGGGTTGTAGGCGAGAGGAAGCCGGGTCACCTGGAAGTTCCACACCTCCTGGAGGGGAGTGAGCTTGTACTGCTGTACCAACCGGCATGCTGCTCTCAAGCGGTCATCAAACTGCACTGTTGCCATCAGCAACTGGAACCTTCGCAGGCTCATTGTGGCTCTGAAAATCGGCCTCCCCGTTTCCTCCCCCCAGAGGCTTGCAATAGATTCCCCCAGGAACAGATCACCCCCAGCGGGGACGAGCAGCTGCCCTCGGACAGCGGTGAACTTCATATAGGCAAACAGGAAGCTCTCGGTTAGTGTGTTTGCTAGTTCAACATGGATGGCTCGGCTAGCCATACAACAAAACACAACTCCCCATACTTTCATGTTTACCCTCTTTTTGACATCATCCTTCACATGGTAAGGTCCAAACAGGTCAACGGATGTGAATTTGAATGGTGCAGCAGGATTAGACCTCTCTTCAGGTAAGTTTCCCATTATTTGCTTGCAGGTTCTTGCCTTTGTTTTCTTACACACAATGCACTTGTCAACAACTTTTTGGGCAATAATTCTTCCTTTAATGACCCACGCTTTCTTTCTCATCCACAGTAAAGTCCCTGCTACTCCATCATGTCCCTCACTGTGTGCTTCTCTGGCAAGGAGGGTGGATAACCAGGCATGAAATGGTAAAAGGGGAACAGCTTTGCAGTCTTCTCTGAAGGTCTGGATTCTTCCCCCACAAACTAGAAGTCCACTTGTTTGATCTCTGTAGACAACTAACCTGTCTGTTGTAGTGCTTGGGAAGTTGACACCCTCTTGTGCTGCTTGGCAAAGGTCTCGAAATGCATCTCGTCTCTCGTTTACTGTAATGACACCCGAGGATGGCACTACCTCTCACCTGTCTTGATCTGTGGTATTGACGTTTAGGAACTTTTTGGCAGCTCTCCAGATCCATGCCACAGTCCCAACCAGCCTTCTCAGGTTGTTGAAATGCCTTTCGTCGACTAGTTTTCGGGTTTCTGCTCCTGCTGGTGGTCTTCTGGAACATACACAGGCTGGATCTTGAGCTGGTTTCAGCTGACTTCTTGTATTACTACAAATGTCTTTTTACGGATACTTGTTACTTTATCTCGAGCATGGGCAGTGATGTCTCTGGCAGATTTATTTGGCCACTCATCATCAGGAAGCTGGAGAAACTTTGGACCAGACTGCCACTCAGAGTCGTCAGTTAAGGCATTTGGACTGGCCCCTCTGGTGATGACGTCCGCTATGTTTGCTGGTCCTGGGATCCACCACCAATCTTGGATGTCAGTGCTACTCTGGATATCGTCGACACGATTTGCAAAGAATGTCTGGAAGCCATAACTTTCACGTTGTATTGCGCCCAGGACCGTCTGGCTGTCGATGAGATGGTACAATTTCTTGACCTGATTATGACAGTGCTTCTGGATGTAGGTCTTCAGGCGGGCTGCGAAGACGGCGCCACACATCTCCGCTTTTACAGGATCACCTTTGTGGTCGAGAGGAGTCAGCTTGGCTTTGGATTCAGCTAGTCTCACGACAGCACCATGACTGCAGCTCCAACGAAGGTACATAACTGCACCATATGCATGCTCACTGCCATCAGAGAATGTGATTGCACTAGGCTCTGCACAGGGATCTGGTGGAGTCAGAGCTCTAGCAAAGCGAAGTTGGTTCAGATCAGCATACTCTTCCAGGACCTTTATGGCGTCTTCTCGGAGACCTACAGACAAGGCAGTATCCCATGTGTCTTCTAAGCAGTACTTTGTTTTGGCCTCTTGGAAAGCTCTTCTAACCAAGATGGCACCTTTCTGCTTGACAGGAGTCATAAGGCCAAGTGGGTCATACAGGCTGGAGACTTGGCTCAGCAGTTCTCGTCTGGTCAGTGGATCAGGGGTTTGAGTTCTGACTTCTTCTCTTAGCAGATTTTGACCAAGGCACATCTTTTTCTTTTTTTTAGAAAAGTTGACTGCAACCATGACATGGAGATCGTCGTCTTCGATGGTGTAGCCAAGGCCAAGGGCTTTGTTGTCTTCTTCCGTCCGCTGGTTTTGCAGAATTATAGTCTTTGACTCCGTTATATTCGTCTCACTTTTGGATTCTTTCCTCCCACTTTGATTGGAGTAGACCCAGGGCTTCATGTAGAATCCTCCAGCTCTCAGGATATACTCGATGTTGGCGGTATGGCATTTCAGATGGTCTTGGTCATTGTGTGAAGTCAAGATATCGTCGACATAAGCATCTTATTCAAGCTCAAGTTTCTCTTCTTTGAAGTCACTGAATGAAGGCAAGTTTGCAGTCTCTCACATGGCAATTTGGGCTATGCAACCAGCAGGTTTGTCTCCAATGTTGACTCTTGTTATGGCGTACTCTTCTATTTCTGACTCTTCTGTGTCACGCCACAAAAACCTGTGCAGGTGGACCTCTCGAGCTTCCAGCCAGACAGAGTTGTACATCTTATATCACCAAGGGCAGCAAAGACACCAGTCCGGAACCTTAGCAGGACAGCTCTGATCGGGTTCAGGACATCAGGACCTTTGATGAGGATGTTGTTCAGGCTGAGACCTTTGTATTTCTGGCTGCTGTTCCACACTAGTCTCACTGGGGTGGATACGGAGTGTGGATTTGGCGCAATGAGATGGCTGATATACCACACTGGCCCAGTCCAACTCTGCAGGACTTCTTTGGACAGCTTCACTGCAGCTCTGTGATTCACCATCTCATGGATTTGTGCACTGTAGGCTGCCTCCCACTCAGGTTCTTTGGACAGCTGCTTCTCGGTTCTGAGGAATGTTGCTTCTACTGCTTTCTTGTTATTTTGCAATGTTGCTGGATCTTCTAGCCATGGATACTTGGCGTGCCAATGTGGTTCAGGGCTGTGGTCATCTCCGCTTGATTAAGTCAGACCATTTCTCACGATCTCCATCTCCCTCTCCTCTGCGAGTGTAATTTCTTTACCCCCTGGCTGACAGTTCCCGCAACGACACCCTCCACATCTTGGCTGACAGGCGGTTCCAATGCTTTCCCACCTCCACCACTTCAGAAAGTCTTGATTGCTGGTGGCTGTGCTGCACTGAGTCTCAATATGGTCTGGATGCTGGCAGGTAGCTGGGTTTTTGGTGAACTCTTGGTATTTGACTGCTGCAGTCCTCATTGATCTTGCAAAGTGAGTCTTGGAGGTGTGTGTCATCAGGGTGACTTCCTCAAAGAGGTCTGGATGTGTGCCCCCCACTGTCTTGCCAAGTGTACTGTCCCAGAGCACTAGGTCCCCGATGGAGTGAACCTTTTGGGGCACTAGCTGGGCTTCTTTGTGACTTATTAGCAGTTGAATCTCTCTGGGTCTGGTAAGGTCTTGAAGAGTGACATAGGGGAAGATCTTCTTTAACTTGTGAGGTGGAACATGTTTGTGCACTTCAGCATTTGTATCAAGACCATAACAGATTAGCTGGTGAGACTTTAAGGTTCCTCTTGAAGTGCTGACACGAATCATGAGAAAGTAACGCTTGGTTGCTACTGATACCTTCACACATGTCACACCATGGACAACCAGTGTGACATTTTCACCACGGAGGTTGAGCTTGCTTGCAGCTTTATGGTTTATGTAGTTTGTGTCAGATGCCAGGTCAATTAATGTCCCAATTCTTTGTCCATCGTTGGCGGTGACGTCAAGTAGCATCAGGATCACAGGGTACTCTTTTAGACCAGACTCCTCCAGAAAGCCTTTCTCTGCAGCCATAGAGTTGAAGGTTCGTGAGGCGACATTGCTGAAAGCCTCACGACACTGCTGGGCTAGCTCTGGTGATAATTTGGAGAGGAACTCTTTTTGGACCTCTGTACCTCTTCCCCTCAGCTCTCCCTGGAACAAGTTTGGGTCTTTGTGATGAGGGTCTCGGCAAAGGGCAGAGAAGGTAATGATGCTGGCCTTTGCACTCTGGATTTCCACACAGGTAGGTTATATTTCTGCATGGTTCGTTGTGGATCTCAAGGCACTTCTTGCAGGCTCCGAGCTGCTGCACTGCATTCTTTTCCTCCTGTAGCTATGTGGTAGTTCTAAACCTTCTGCAGATGTACAGTTTTCTCTTGTGATTTGGGTCACCACAGATGATGCACCCTGCTGGGTCACTAAGGGATTTAACAGTCTTTGTGCGGGCATACTTTGTTGGGAACTTTATCTTCTCCTTGGCAGGGTCTATGTCTCTCAACTGATCTAACTGCACATAGATGGATTCTTGAGATTGGAGGTATACAGGTAGCTTGTCAAACTGGTTCTCATGAGTAACAGCATGCTTTGGGTCAGCAGCATGGGTAAGCCAGTCTTTCTTCAGGGACTCTGGTAATTTGCTTTCAATAGACTTTATTACTAACAGGTTCTTTATTGCATCTGCTTTATTTAGTTCATTCAGATTATAGAGGGCCCTTTCAACTGCTTGGATTAGCTCGATGATTCTTCATGGCTGGTTACTACGAACAGCAGGAATAGCTTGTAGCTCTTCGATGATCTTGACTGCAATGGTGGCTTGATTCCCATAACGGTTCTCGAGGACTCTGAAGATCTCATCTGTTGATGGGTATGTAGATAGACGCAGATCTCTGGCAATTCTCTCGTCGAGGCTATCAAGCAGTTGGAACTTCTTCACCTCCATAGACCCGATCGGTTTGCCTTGTCTTTGAAGAGCCTCCCATTCCTTTCTCCAGCGGTAGAACTCACGCTGGTTACCAGTGAACTTTGGTAGAGCTGTGGCTTTCAGTTTTATGGCTGCAACAGGGGCTGTGCTGTGGAGAGTGACAGGTGCTTGGATGGAGTCCCTTTTAATTCTTGCTTCTCTGATCAGGGTGGCTTTCTTTGACACCAGCTTTGGAAGGGATGTCTCGAGCTCAATTAATCGACGATCAAAGTCTCGCCTCTCAGGAGTAGGAGCCCAATGGTTCCATGACTGGTGTGCTTCTTTTGCTTTGTGCACCAGGTCTTTCTAGATGAAGAAGCATAAAATCATATGCCTCCACTGGTGTGTCAGGCTGAGTGGAGGAAACATTCTCAATCTCTATTTCTGCAGCTTTTAGGGCAAGTGTTAGTTCTCTCTCACCAAACAAGATCCATAATGTCTCTCTGATCAGGTGCTTTGTCTCCTTTAACTTGAGCTCACATTCTTTCTCAGTCTTCTCGCGGTCAGCTCTTTGCTGGTCGCTCAACTCATGTGTGCCTTCGTCTTCACACTCTGTGACGTAAGCAGCCACAAGCTCCTCATTCATAACCATCACTTTGGAGCTCTCTCCTGTGAGCTTCTTGAAGGCATCCAGTAGCTCCTCTACAGACATTTCCATGTGGGTCCTTGTCATTTGGTTGGCGAGTCTGGAGTAAAGTATTTTTGCTGTGGTTTGTTCTACTTTCAGTTCCTCAAGCGACTTTGACTCAGCCATGTTGCTTTGTTTGTTGTTGGGTTGACAGATGGCAGGTAAACGGTTCCCTCCAGGCCCCCAGATGGAGTCTTCTCCCTCTTTGTGGCGGGCTTTGGTGGAGTCTTCACTGGTCAAGGCCGATTTCCCACTGGCCAGGGCGGTTTTCACTGTCTTCTTCTTTCTGTGAGGCGTCTACACTTGAAAAGACCAGACTTTGGCTTCACTCAGATATGTCTTTATTTGACCAGTATCAGCATCAGTATCAGTATCAGGCTAAAACCTTTAAATACAAAAATAGAACTTTTTAAAGATCACACACAGAAAACAAAACTAAATGCATTTTACAGGTAACACAAACTAAAAAGCTTTTCAACCAACATCTGAAATTGAAATGGAAGGTAAGTACTTAAGTTCTAAGTAAAAGCATACTTTAACCATGCTAGTTGCTAATCCCAGAAGTGGGTAATTGCACAATGAAAGAAAAGATTCAACATATTCTAGTCTTTAAATTAAAGAAAAGTTTTTTTTTCTCAGACTTTACTACCTAATAAATTGTTATTTTCACAGTTACATTTTCAGTATTTAACCTGTGTTTTTTAAACATTTTAATTAAGGTTTTAACTAAGGATTTTTACCAAGAATTTTTACATTTTAACTAAATATATTCACTAATTTCAGGATTTAAACAAAGAATCTTGGGTTACCATTTTTAAATATTAAATTTCCATTAATTAGGATAGAAACCCATATTTTTCTGATAAACTTAAAGAAAGAACACAAACTTCCTCCCAACACATTTGTTTGCCACAAAACTTGACTCAGAAACAAGTCCATGTGAATCACCCCAAGAGCTTACCGATAGCCTGTCAAGATCAAAGTCCTCCTCACAGCTGAATTGTTTGCTTGCCATCTCAGTTTTGTCACACACTGGCTGAATGACTGCTGTATGCATCAAGAAGCCACTAGTGGTGAGCTCTTGATTGCCTGATTTGGCTCACCTGGAGGAGCACACACCAGAGTTCACAAGCCCCCTCTGGCCAGTGTGAAGATTGCATGCACAGCTCATGTGCAGACACTGTGCAGCAGAGTCAGCATGAGGAGGAGACAGTTGACTGCGTCACCTCTGCCAGGTCAGCATGACATTATTTACTTATTAAATAATAAGAAAAGTTCTGTTTCTAAAAGAGTTCTTCTTTCGTCTTTCTTGTGCTGTTCGGGGAAGCAATAGTTTAGATAAGCACAGAGCATAAGCGGCTTTGACCCATCCTTGTAGATTAGGTTTGTGTCAGAAACTTCTGGTTTTGCTTTGAGCAGAGCAAATAGAGTAGGACCTTTTAGGTCAAAGATGGACAATTCATCACACTACATATCCCCCCTTTTCAAGGGCACGGTGGTCCGTCAGAGACCACCTGGCATTGAACACAGAGGCCTGGAGGGTCTCCGTCAAGTATGCTTGATGTAATTTCCCCGGCAGAGGCCAACAGGGGCTAATTTCCTTTTGAGGGGGTAAATCCTTTGAAGGCGTTTAATCAAAAGTCAGCAAATCATTAATATATCCACTTGGAGGGAATAATTTGAAGCAGCATCTTTGATCTTTGTATTTTACTTAACGTAATCCCAAGTAGGAGGGAGACGAGCAGCAAACAGGTCAGGTCCCAGCGAGCAAAGTATCCCAGCAGCAATAGCCGGAATCACGGATGTCCAGGTCCTACGAGCCGGAACACCACTCAGGAGGAGTAGAATCCGATGACGAATCATAGGTCCACCCCCAGGAATCGAGGGTCATCAGCGAAACTCAGCAGAGGAGAGAGAGCATAGCACAGGGCACTTCAATGTAGACACAACAAAACGGTGTCTAATGTAAACCAATAAAGAAAAAGAAACATGTAGGAGCCATAGTATATCTTGGGTGAGTTGATTATTGGGGTTTTCATTCTTACTTCCCCTTTTGTTGTCATGGTGACACATGGGTGTGGGCGGTCAGAATTAAAAGGAGCTGTCATTCTGTCACCTGGTGATTTTTGACAGATAGAGGAGGGCTGGGCAGCCGTAGTTTTTGTTGACTGCAAATGTTCAGTTAATCACATCACAATTCAGTTTGTTTTACTCTGTTTATAGTCACGTTATGTTTAAGGATTTGACAAGAATTAAGAGTAATCTGTAACGATAAAATAGACAAAAGCATTCCATCTCTCTGTGAATTAATCAAAGCAGACAGCGCGTCAAACAAATAGACCTGGGCCCAATCTCTGCCTCTACAGTGACTGTGGAAGTCGCTACAAAACCTGTCAGTATGTGTTCCTGCATGTACTATGCGTAGCAATTATGTGAACAGAGCCCAAGTGAAGAAATGGATGCAATACACTACGTGTACTGGAAAAAGTGGTGTAAAAAGAATAAAGTAATAAAAACCTATACTGCGTGTATGGGGGAAAAAAAAAACAGAATCACTTTACTAAGCAAAATTTATCAAAATGAAGGGCAAAATGGTTGTAGCCCATAATGGTAAATTAACAAAGTTAATCAAAGTTATCACCTTAAATACTGTAATTTCCGGACTATAGAGCACACCTCAATAAAAGCCGCACCAACAAAAAAAAGGTTTTCTACACACACACGCCGCACTCGAATACAAGCCGCGGCGCAGCAGTCACATGCGGGTCTCCGGCGCACAGCGCATGTATGGCCATAACATAAGATAATTAGACAAAAAGACGCTACACGGAGGTTTTTCGTTGTTGTTTTAATTCAACAAAACGAATTTTAAACACGGGTGAACACGCCTGCAAGTTTAGAAAAGAAAACTGCACTGATAGCATAGGGATGCACCGGTATGATACTGGTATCGGTATCTGCACCGATACCAATACCAGTATCTGTATCGGTTAAAGTTAACCGATACCAGGAACCGATACAAATGCAGTTACTTGAAAATGGCTTCACTGTAACTTGTTATTTCTGTTCACCTAATATTTTAGTTTTGTGATGATTTCTATTCATATATTTTACTTTTTATCTACCTCACAGTCTTTTCCTGTTGAAAGCAGAGAAGAAAATAAAATCTGTATTCCAAATCATAGCATTTTTTTGTGTGGTAGAAGTATCGGTATCGACGAGTACTCAGATCCAAGTATCGGTATCGTATCAGTTTGGAAAAAAGTGGTATCGTTGCATCCCTATGATAGCATTAATATTTCTGGATGGTTATAAAATAAAAACAGAACTGACACGTTATTATCGGTAATTTGCTTGCATGTTTAGAACAAAAGAACAGCACTGACGCAGCATTAATAAGCCCTGGATGATTAGAAAATAAAAACTGCACACAAAACATGCCTGGTTAGTAAATAAAACATGTGCCTACCAGAAAGGCATTCGCTGTCATCTTCCTCTTGCGCACTAAAGCCATTAAAGTCCTCTTCTTCAGTGTCGGGAGTTGAACAGCCTCAGAAGAGCTTCGTCACATACCTTTTCTGTGGCGATATCAGTGTCGCTGTCCGTGTTGCTGTCATCATCCCCGGGTGAAGCTGGCTTGAATGAGTTCTTCCCGCTGCCGTCTCCAGCGCTGAACCATGGATTCATTCATTCATGCCAAGCTTACGTGTGGCAGCACTGTTTCCCTCCTTTACTGCCAGATCGATGGCCTTCAACTTAAATGTGGCATCATATGAACTCATACATGTAGTTACCATGATAAGGGGGTATGGATTTGAAAAAAATTCTTCGTTGTGCCGGTTGCTTGCATGTGCTAAATTAAAATGAGCACTTTCTTCGATTTCCACTTTTGACTTCCATCTGTTTCACTTTCTGCTAAAGCGCCCCCTGGCAGGTGAAGGAAAATCTTCAGTTAAGCCGCACTTCATTGTAAGCCGCATGGTTCAAAGCGTGGGAAAAAAGTAGCGGCTTATAGTCCGGAAAATACGGTAACAATAGAATAGTAGATATGAGTGTCAAAGAGCACTAAAAATGTAAATCAGTGAAGTTAGTCATCAACCTACATGTGAATGTACCTATAAGGAATTAAGATTAGTGAAAATAAAAACAAATTTGGATAACAGCAATATGTGGAATAAACCCTTTTACTGTTAACTTACTGATTACCTGACTTCAGGAACCCACAGCATGTTCATCGCAAATCACCCAAGTCGGCACGTCATGTATAAACAGGAAAGACAGCATGCACACACACAAACTTGTTTAATCTGAAACAGGGGACCATGGGACTGACGACGGAAAATAGGGATCACCCCACTTGCGAGGTGGAAGGCCTAATTGAAGGCACGGGAGGTGCCGGAGGAGGTGCAGGTGGAGGAGCGACCGGTGCAGGTTGTGGTATCTGGACGGCCGAGGCTTTGCGGACAACCGGCACTTCGCGGATAACCGGCATTTTGCGAACAACTGGCACGAGGGCACGAGATAGATGGCCACCGACGTTGCGGACCGAGTCCCTTAGCGAAGTCATCTGTGTTGAGAAGTGACGGAACAGGAAAGATAACCCCCAACGGAGGACCAGGAGTAAGACACTGGTTGAAACCTGAGACCGGGATCTGCCGACAACTCACGCAGCACCTTGTTCACTGCACCAACCCAAACCATGGCTGGACCACTGAATGTAACACGATCCACCGTAGCTGGAAAAAGAGCAAAGGAGATGTTATCAAAGAATGGAGAAAACTCCACAACAGACTTATGCTCAACAGGATCCAAGTAATATAGAGAGACCTCACCTACATGGACTGTAGCACTACATGGAACTGTTACCCATAGGGTCTGGGACAGAAGCACAACTCATGTGGACACACCATGACGCTCATAGAAAACATCTGCTTCACGACCAGGGGTATTAACCAACCAACGGTCACCAACAACAACAGCAGTAGTTTGAACCACATGGAACGTGGAGTCACAGTCATAGGACATTTGGAGTCATCCGACAACTCATCAATGCCACACACACCAGTGGCACTGCCACGCAGAAAAGTGTACCTGGACACAAGAAGTGTAGGCCACGTGTGAGAGAACACACGCGCAGGTCCGGGACTAACCGGACGTGTGGCGTGTCCTCATGGTACGCGACGACCGGAGGCATATGTAACCTGACGTGAGTGTCGTCAACCCAATTACCTACGTTTACCACATCTCTTAATCTGTAGATGTCATCTGGGGATACATTAGGTAAATTGATGATGAAAGCTAGCTCTCTAGCATCTGGATTGACACTTAATGGGATAGCACTGCCCAATGAGAAAGCCAAGTGAGTCTGAAGAGCCATAGGGTCCTTCAATGTCACCCAAGCAATCGCAGACCGGACCATGGCCAGGGACACGAGGTACGGAGGGATCCTCCCCATGAGGAGGGTATCGATCGAGGCGCTCACGTCCCGACCGTAGTCTGACAGGCAAGTGGTCAGCATCTGTGTATGAGCATAATCAACAGCCACAAAAGAAAGCAATTCGTTCACAGCGGAAGTTGTTTTGCACAAAATGTCGCTGAGTGTTGAGTACCACCATAGTCTGTTTTTCAGACGTGTCCAGCTGTCTCAAGGCACGCCGCTGCTGCAGTACCTGTTTACGCAGAGCCGGATTTTCTCTGTTAAGCTCATCGACGTGTCGACGAATTGTGTTAATCTCAATCGAGTTGACTGAAGAGAATCCAAAATTTAAAAGATTGCTTATTGCATTAGCAACTGAGAAAAGTCAGTCTAGGAAACGCTTTGGCCTATTGCTGGTACTGGCAAGATCACTGTTAGAAACCATGAATTTAAGTGCTTGGAATAGCATGTGACGGATGCCAGCTTCAGCATGCTGCATCAGGGTACTAGTCCAGCGGGCTCCCGTTTCCGAGAGGTTGCTGAAAGCACTCATCATCTTATCGGTACACGCCATAGCGGGCTTGAATTTGACGAAAATCTTTTATGTAAGTAGACGATAGTTAGTCATTAGTAGACCTGGGCGGTCTCGTAGTGTGCTACCCGAAGAGGGCCCAGGTTCATACAGACGCATTAGAGGAGGCTGAGAATGAACCTCAGCTGCGGTCGTTATCAGACCAAAGCACGCAACTAACAGAACATACTTTGTCTGAGCTGCAATTGGAAACCAAGGACAGTTTAGGATGTAGACTTGCGCGGCCTTGCGAGGGTTCAGCGCAGGTAAGCACTCTGGAGGGCCCTCGGTCAAAGAGCAGGTGCAGTCAGGGAGATCGGGGTCAGACAGTAGTTGTACAGGGCGTCCTTCAACCTCGCCTTTGGTAGGTGAGTCACCACCCTCGGGGTTAGAGGTCACCAGCACCTACTGTAGTGCTGTAGTGTCAGTGATGTCATCAGCCTGTCCTTTGGCAGGTGGAGTCCCCACTGCAGGGTGCGGAGTCTCAGGTGGTGTGTCACTGCAACCACCCACTGCCACTAGGGTAGGTGGTTTCCCCACCACAGCGTGGAGTGGTCCTGATGCAGAGATAACGCAGACTCTCTGGATGTCACTGACCTTACTGGTACTGGATTGACCGACCAGGCTGGCGGCGCTTTTGTGGTTAACACCGCCTGAAAAGGTAATGAGGTGCTCAAGGGACGCCAAAGGCGTCGGTTGAGTCAACCGAGTTTGGAGTCCAATCACCGAGTGAAATGACAGCCTTTAAGCCTTGGCGCAGATCCCCTCCCAACACGAAAGGAAATGCTTCAACATTAGTTACAAACACTGGATGGCTCACGAACATGTCTCCCACTGTGAAGTTGATGGACACCACTTTTGGCAAGGACATTTCACCTGAAGAGTACGGCTGGATGTCCACAGCGCAGGGCGTGAGTCCTGCAGCTGCAGCCATGTGGACCTGCTCCCAGAGAGAGCTGGGCATCATGGTGAAATCTGAACCGGAGTCCAAGACACCCTCACAGTCCAGCGCCCCCTCCAGGGTCACCGGAATTTGAGGTTTATCAGTAGGACCTTTACGGATCATACTGCAGAGAACCCTTCGTGGAAGTCTGATCGGTGAGCTATGTTGGCCAGGTCCGGTTGCAAGTTCTGCGGGTGCTAGAGGACTAGCGCTGACGGAAGCGACCACCCCAGACCTCGCCGAGGTCTCAGGTGTTGGTGTATGCACCGTTGTTGGCAGGCTCCGCCTCTGCAGGACCTGCTTCCACAACCAAGCCAAAGGCAGGTTGAGGAGGTTCTACTGCAGAGATGCACAGAACCGACTCACGTTCTGGCGAATCTTTCAACAGGTCAAGAAGTGCGGCACCCAGGGCGTGAATTCTTCCAGGAGATCGGCTCCTAGAATCAGTTCTCGGCCTTGGGGCAGGACTGTAGTCATTGCGAGCACTACGCGGTGAATTTCGGCCAGAAGGAGCGCGGCTCTCGCCTGAGTGACGCGACTCTCTCCTGAAGGAATATGATGAACCCTCTTTTCTTTATAAGAAACACGATGTTTATCGTGGCTGAGTTGTGGTGACTTAGGGTCCCCAACACGAGCCGGTGGAGGGGTCCGGGGTCTGTTTGGATTTTGAGGCTTGTTATTTGGAAAGCCTTTTGGCTTGGAGTTGTTATTGGATTTCTGGGCCTGTTGTTTAGACCCGTTGTTGCAGTTATTATTTTTATGAGTCCCTGATGCAGTCCCTTCGAGTCGCAGCGAGGAGGGGCTTGCCCCCACCACCAGAACTGATGGAGCGTGCAAACTCTTACTGGATTTGTCAAACCGTCTAAAGGCACAACTCGCCATTCTTCTGAGCTCATCCATGGGTGTGGTGTTTGTGTCCCCTGTACCCATGTAGGGGCTGTACTGAGGATGTAGATTCTCAAGGAAGATTTCCTTGAAACCTTTCTCATCTTCCTTCCCCTCCTTACATTCCGTACCAAAGTACGCATCAAAGAGGCGTAGATAGAAGGCTTGTGGGTCTTCAGTGCGACCCTGTTTGACTGTCAAAGCTAACTTTATACCAGCCTCCTTAGCATCATAGGTGTACTCCTTTTTATTTGCAGCTTCCAGCCTGGTGTAATCATTTGCAATCGCACTACGCTGGCGATCAATGAACGAACCCACGGCATCGGAGGTTAACCTTATTAAAAAGATTTTGTCTTCCAAGGTCATTCCCGGACATCGCTGAAAGTGATGCTGGAGGTCACTCAGGTAGGTGTCAACTGGGCATGAATTACCTGGTCGAGGGTTGGATTTCTTGACACTACGGGACATCCTGTAGATGTCAGTCATGGACACCGGTGAGTTCAGTTGGGCTGGCTGGGAAGCTGGCACGACCATCGCAGCAGCACCGGCAGGTGCAGCAGGAGGGTATTGTTGTGCAGCCAGAAGGTGTGGCTGAGCTGCAGGCACATATGTATGCATCATCAGAATCGGAATCACAGGCTCCTTCTCTTGTCCTTTGGTTAGTAAGTGTGTGCAGAGTACTTTGTGTCTCCAGATGAGCAGTAAACTCTTTGTCCCAGAGTTGAGCTAGCAGAACAGCAAATCCTACCAGGTTCTCTGTACGGGCTGTTGGTTTAACCTTCTCACCTTCTTTGGGCAAATTATTCACCTGTGTCAGTAACAGCTGAACTAGATGTTCTGCTGAATAATTTTGCAGGATGTCATCAAAACCATGAGCCTTCATGCTGGTAACACCTGTCACAGCATCAATAACTTGTCTGCCCACAGTGGGGAGGGGCAAACATTCTTCATCAGACATGATTAAAAATCTGAAGTGAATTTTTTTTTTTTAAGAATTGCAATGTGTAAAGGTGCCAAGGTGGCGGTAGCACCAGTGGTGGGTGCGGACCTTACCAAGATGGCGGTCCTAGAGGTTGCGTGGGTAGACCCGGGGAGAAATTATGACACGTCTCTAAATAAAGTAAAAAATTCTAGTGCAGATTGGAGACAAACCATAGAAGCACTGATTTGATCTCATTTCAGAGAAAAGTAGAATGGGTCAGATGCACCTAATAAATAAAATTACTAACCAACTCAGGAATCTTTCTTTGCTTCATTGTTCTGGTGCTGAGAATATCACTAATGCGGATCAAAGGAGATACACAGATGAATGCACCTCTTATTTATTATTTGGAGACTACATTTACTGCAGCTGGCAGAGGCAGAGATCTTTTCTATTGATACACGGAATTTACAGAATCATTTTAAATTTTAATAGGGGAAGACTGCAGAATGGAGCGGTAAAATACAGGGGGTCCCCAGCAAAAACAAGAAACTTTACGAGTCTGATGAAACCCGCTGGTTTTCCATCAGGCAGTCACGGGGCAGCTCCAACGACCCAGTGGCTGTACTGGGTCAATGTTATCGAGCTCAGTCCGGCTCGGCTGTGAACGAGCCGAGGCGACGTCGTGCTCTGCTTAAGGAGAGGTGTTATTTTCCCGCTTCAGAAGAAGCGTCCAACGTGTTTTTACGCTTTCTCCGAGACATGTCACATCGCTAAGTTGTTAGCGCCGCGCGCTAACGCGTCAATAGAGCTGCGTAGCCTGCTGGAGGTTTTAAGGGTTCCGATGAAAACACCCGACCTCTCACGCTGCACACACATCGATCTTAAGTTGTCGCTGTTGCGCTCACGCCGTAATACAGTATTAGATGCGGTTAAAGTCAGACATGAAAAAATAAATAAATTTTACATGAATAAGTGATGCTTAGCCTGGTGGGGGGAGGAAACCTGTCAAGATCGTCAACACACGTTTATCTTAATGCTATTGAAACATGTAAACCAAAAAGCATTATCTCCACTGCTACCTTTCTAATTTTAAACTCCGTAATTTATGCTGTAACTTCCCCTTGCCCTGCCTGCTCCTCCTTGCTGCCTGCCGGCTGTGATCACAAGCGACAACATAGTAGTTCCCGCAGCTTCTTCGGGAAACAGCAAAACACTTCAGGGCCTTTTAGGTCAGAAATGGACAATTCATCACGCTACATCATGCAGCTCTATTTGAGTCATAGGCCTTGTTGTAGTTAGTGCACAGGTTTGTGTGTCTAGTCAATCAGGCACAATGATTCTGTTGACCAGCTTTCAATTAGCTTCTGAGCCCTGCTCAGGTATTGATCCATGCCTACTTTCCAGCTATGATGTCTGCCTGTCCTTGTCTTCCCAAGGCTTTGTCCTGTCTCTCTTCTGAAAGCAACTCTATGGATTGTTTCTGTAATTAAATTTGAAAATGATTGATCTGGTTAACAGGTCGCTGACAGCTATTGATTAAATTTTCACAACATTCAGAATGGAGAAGGTACCTCCAACATGCCCTAACAGAACATACCCAGTAGGATTCATTCTGGATTCCTGGAAGTGGCTGATTGGATTCTCCTGTGACCAGTAAGACTGTAAGGCAGAGGAAAACTTTATCTCTGGCCTGCTCCTAAACAATAAATGCTATCTGAATCTGGCTCCCTGTTCCGGAAAGTGGGAGATGAGGCTGCGCTACACTGCAAATACTCTCGGTTGAATGGAGGGCTCCCCAGCCCTCGCCTACTGTGGATTTATGTTTGTGACTGTTCAATTTATGTTCTTATAAAGATTTTTCCTGAATCTCCAGTGCTGCTCCTGGGTTAGGAACAGGGTGAAGGGACATGCTTTTTCTCCCTCATACCCCCTCTTCTTGTTGGTTTTTTCTCTTATCTTGTTTCACTCCTGCAAATGGGACTGCTATAAATGCACCTGCCCACAGTTCAGCCTGACTCTGTTATGTTGAGTCTGTGTATGTCCAAATGTGAGAGGGTTGTTCTGAAACTGTAATCTCATTGTACTTGGATGCTGGTTCAATGACATTAAAAGCTTCTTCAATCTTGATATGATGGGCTTTCATCATCAGATCTCTGTGGACATACCCTTGGATCTCCTGCATGTTGGTGCATCTCAAACCCTTGTTACTCTTACAGAGTTTGATCTTCACCTGCATGTCCTGTCACTGCTGTGTTTGTGCGTAGGTTGGATTACACGATGTAGCCAGTATCGTAATTGGCTAAGACCCTGCTGTCAAAAACTGAGCTGAACTCTTACTCATTTCTTCAATACTTGTTGGCCAGATAATACTATCAACATATATACTGGACAATCAGTGTGCATAGGCTCCAATTATAAGTTTTTGTGCCAAAAGTTCCCACCTCCGCCATTTTGACCGTGTCACAGGTTCCGTCAAGCCCAGACAATTCCAAAAAAAGGAAAAACGGTGGAGCTGAGGGTGGGGCTGTAAGGTTGGGATCAAATGACGACACTCGTCGAACTGAAGCATGTAGCTAAAAGCTAACACAAAGCTAAGGCGGAGGTGGGAGCTAAGCTAACGGAGGTAGCTACCTAGCTACAACCGGAGTTAACTGTGCTCAACACCAGAGCTTTTGAGTCAGAGATGCACCAGGCTGACCACTGGGTAAAACCTGGTGGAACACAGAGGTCTCCCGAGAACTCCACAAGCTGGCAGCCGCACAGCAGACAGGCGCCGCTGTGATCAGAGATGCGCCGAGCTGCCACTGGGGAGAACCGGGTGGAAAACATCGGCTTCCATCTGAGAGCTCCACAAGCCGGCAGCCCGCACAGCAGACAGGCACTGCTGCGGTCAGAGATGCGCCAAGCTGCCGCTGAGGGGAGGGGACCATGCTGATAGTCGGAACCCAGCTCCACCAACATGTTATATTTCAACCCATTTTCAAAAATGCAGCGTTATGCACTGGGTTTCACCCTATTACATTTAAATTTCATGGTTAAACAGTACATGTTAAAATCTAAGCTCAGTTGGTGCAAGAGCGGCAGTGACCTAAAATCATCGACATACATACATAAATATAATTTTACGTATCGAAAAAAATGAAGTGGAGACTTCTTGGATGCTCCATTAGTGCAATTAATGCCACAGCAAGTCATTTTGTCCAACAATTGCACAAATAATATCCAAAATGAATACACAAATGCTACAACTAGTGGTCTAAGTTGAGGGACTAAAAATCGCGGAACAGTTTTCAGACGAGGCCAAGGCTCAGACTAATGGGCTCGACACACGGGAGGCGACAAATGACCGCGATCAGCAAAATTTGTCGCTGTCGCTTTTATTACCTGACACACGGGAGGCGACCCGCGGCCAGCGGCAAAACCGTCTACGCGTTCTGTTCCATGGCGAAATTGAAACTTCCGTTGTTTTGTTTGGCTGTGTCAGGTTGGAGGGAATTAAGGTTATTTAAGCGGCTCAGAGTTAATAAAGTGGTAGATATGATGTTTCACAAGGTGCTGCTAGAGTTATGTGAAATCTTACTTGTGATTTTACTATATAAAACATAATAATAATCAACTTCTCCTCCATGTTTGCTCGGAGATGTGCGGAGCATCCTGTCCGCTCGTTGGTCAGTGAATGAAACCTCCGTTGATTGGTCCTCGTCCGAGCGACAGCGATGAAAAGTTGAAAATGTTTCATCTTTCTGGGATTGCGTCGCTGGGACGCCTGTGCACGACACGTGCATGAGCGCAAAATTTCACACGCACGTTTTTTGCATTTCGCTTGGTAGGAGGGAGACCCGCGATTATCGCTTTGTTGCGCATGTCTCATTGAAAATGAATGGAGGAGAGGTGATGTCGCCTCCCGTGTGTCGAGCCCATAAGGCCTTTCCCCAGAGCTAGCTCTGTGTTCACGTGGGTTGGATGCTTATTAATTATACAGAATTTTAGGCTTTTAATACACTTAAACAGAAGAGTGACAAAAAAATTCACCCCCTCAGAGTTGTCATGAGTGTAATCTAGATCTATTGAACCTAAAACAAGTTTTGGTACCAGGCTGTAAACATGTTTATTTCTGCTGTGAAATTGGTATTTTTAACATGGGAGTCATTGAGGATTTGCTCGCTTCTGATACTAGCCCCCAGCGGATGAGGGTGGAACTGCAATTTTTGTCACTTCCTGTTTTGCTTCATTTCCACACCCACATTATGGGGGCTTGGATAATACTCACAAAAACACATCTATATTCTCATTTTTTACGCAGCCACTTTTTTCAAAATTCTTTTTCGTAACCATAAATAAAACTTGAATTTCATGTTACAAGGTGACAAAGCTTCATTTGTAATTCAAACTTCGCATTAATTGTGAGTGAACCTAATTTTAGCCCATAAATATCCTCCATCTAATTCGTTAAGCTGAAAATGGACATCACTCTATTGCTACATTGGTATCAGTTCATATACAAAACAATCATCGGTAGAACACTGTCTTATCTTCACTCATTACTCATCACTTCCAACCACCAGCGCAATTTACAGTCCAGTAACGTAATCTCTATGGTTATTCCCAAGGCTTGCATCTCCTATGGCCGCTCCTCATTCCAGTTTGATGCTTCCAACGACTGGAATGAGCTGCAAAAATCACTTAACTCACTACCTGCATTCCATCATCTACCTTCAATAATAGTTTCTGATCAATGTGACTGCTTCTGAGTAACTAAAGACTGTTTTCAGTCTGTTTTGATTGCTTATATTGTAAATGAGAACAATCCTTTGCCTTTATTTCTAACTGTTTTATCTTATTTTGATCTTGTATGTTTTTGTCTTGTTTTTCTTTGGCGTAAAGCTAACTGTGTGTCTGTTGCTGCTGCCTCTTGACCAGATTGTCGTGAATGAGAATGAGTTCTCAATCGACTTATCTGGATATATAAAGGTTAAATAAATGAATAAATGTGTAACACTTTTATCTCTAAAGAATGCACTGGCAGTCTTTACGTTGTTGTTTTTTCATAACCTAATGAAGGGTTAATCCCTTGTGATTGGGAGTTTGGCAGATAGTATTTTAAAAACATGTTTATTCTGATGAATATTGCCTGTTTTATGGACTGTGCATATGTGTTTGTCCTTTGACAGTATGTGGTGACGTCCATGGACAGTTTTTTGACCTCATGAAGTTATTTGAAGTGGGCGGTTCACCTAGTAACACACGGTATCTCTTCCTCGGTGACTATGTGGATCGAGGATACTTCAGCATTGAGGTAAGCTGCCATAGTATTAATTACACTATTAAGCTGAATTAGTCGTCTTTAATTTGTTGATTTTGTTTTATTTTATTTTAAAATAAGTCTACAACTAATTTATTTTTTGCTGTAATAATATTTAGGGTACTGACTATACTTTGCTAAACAAATGTTGATGGCTGATGATTTTACATTCCTTAAAATTAGTTTATTTTTAGGAATCATAAATAAACCAGTGTACAGCTTCTTTACTACTCTTACTCACTGGCATAAACACTCCTAACCCTAACCCAGCCACAGCTTTTCATGCTTTTGCCAAAACTCACTTTATTAGATGTGCATTTTTATAACAGCAATGTGTCTCCTGAGCCAAACTTAAAAACTGTTTCCTGACTAGAAATAATATTTAAAAAAATAAAATTGTTACAGTTGTGCTGCGACTCCAGATGTTTTCAAGAATCAGACGTAGTGTTTTTAGATAAGTTTGTCACCAGCACAGAGAGAACAACCACCCTTAAGACTGCCATCCTCAGCCGACACAAACTCTAAATAGTGAATCCATTTTCGGCTCAATAACTATGGATGCACCGATGGATTGGCATTTGATCGTAATCGGCCGATAGCGCCCCTATCGGTTTTGATCGGAATTTTCAAAATAGATCAAAGCAAACCGATCAGGTAGGGTTGTCACGGTAACCAGTGTAGCGGTAAACCCCGGTAAAAAAAAAAGTTGACAATAATAACAACCGTCTTGTTTTTTAAAAAACTATATTATCTTGGTGGGTTTACCGTGGCTGCGGTGTAGGCGCGGTGACCCTTACCAGCCACCATATCATCTGCTGAAGTTGCTGGCGGCACATGCACACTTTGTTGTTTACAACAAAACTTTCTTGAAGCTAAAGCTGAAATAATGGTCAAAGGAGGAGACGGCAGCGCTCAGGAGGACATTTATTATCTCTCAAAGAAGACAAAGTCGGAAGTACGGGCATATTTTGGATATCTGAAGAATGCCGAGGGACAGTGGTTAGAAGACGGCTATCCTGTTTGCAGCACGTGCAGAAAAAGTGTCTGTGAAAGGCAGCAACGCTTCAAATCTCATGACACATCTGCGTGACCATCACCCACAACTCTGCAGTCAACGCAAGGCAAGCTAACGTTAGCGTTTTAGCTAAAATGCGTGATCCGAGGATTTGGGTTGAGGAAGAATGCAACGAGTCGCTATATAAAGCAGCCGCAGCGCAGCTACCTGCATATAAACCGTGTCGCGGACACCCCCATGTTGAAATGACGCTATGCATTACGGGGCTCCCAGGGGCAGATGAGAGTTGATCTCTCTCAGAGAATAATTATGAATTTAACAATAATTACTGCCTGATGACATTTTCCCACATCTGCAAAGCTCACTGGAAGGACACAAACCGAGGACAATATTTTCCTGATATAGGGTTTATTACTCAAGTAAGGAAGTATCTGATTTGAAGGCTACTTGAGTACTGAGTATCATCTGATCTAATATTTTTAAATGATGACATCAAAGAGACAAAAAAATAAGAAGTTATGGGCAAATATTGGTATTTTAAAGACTAAAGGGGAAAAATGTAAACAAATAAACAACATAATTACAAAATAACACATTTTAGGCAAAATTTAGACACAAACTGAGGACAATATTTCCTGACATACAGGGTTTATTTAATTGTGTGAAAATGTTGCACGTTTAAAAAAAATACCGCGATAATACCGAAAACCGTGGTAATTTTGGTCACAATAACCGTGAGATTAAATTTTCACACCGTGACAACCCTAATACAGACCATTTTAGATTAGGTTCCATTTCCTTTATTCCCAGATTATGTAGTTTGTAGCACTCATTATAATGTTGTAGAAAATTTCTGGCCAATCCACGTGATCGGTATCGGTGATCGGTATCGGTGATCAGCATTCTTTGATATCGGTATCGGTGATCGGCAGCAAAAAACCTGATCGGTGCATCCCTATCAATGACCCCGGTTTCACACTGCAAGCATCAGCAGATCGGAACGGCAGCGAAGCGGCGCTGCCTCAAATAGAATCCAATTATAGTCTATAGAGTCTTTCAAACCAGCCACAACGTGGCAATTTTCAGGCGCGTCCCAGAAGCGGCATGCCGTGCCGCTAAAGATAGGATCGAGTTCTATTTTTTCCACGAGCCGCTCCTGGGACACTTCAATGTCCGCAGTTCACATTGTGCGAGACAGGAAACCACACACGGTTTCAGTGTAAAATCCCTGGTTATTGTCAAAATAAAATGCACCGTTGTAATGTTATATATAACTTACGTCAGCACGTGTGACCGGACGGCTTTGTTTACCACCAGTTTCTTTCGAGACGTGCAACGGTGTGATTCGTCGCGGGGGTTGGGAGCTCTCGATGAGGAAGGGTGGCGGAAGTCTCGAAGGATTGTAGAATCTCGTGAGTACAGCGAGGTGCAGCGAGGAAGCCGTGCCACGGCCAAAACTCTCCCAGTGTGAAAAAAACCGCTTCGAAGTTCGTGAGTGAGCCGCTCTGCTGCTGTTTTGTTCCGTTGATGCTTGCAATGTGAAACCTGGGTAACTCGCGCCTCTCTCATCCCGCCGTTGTTGTTTATGTTGCTTGCTGTTTGGTTTGTTTTACACCTGAGTTGACCTCATGTTAAAAATATGACATGCAGCATATGAAAGCAAATGTATCTTTTTACTATGATTAATGACAAGAACAGGATTGCACAGACATTTTAATCAGATTACTGGTTTAGGAATAATTACACGCTGAGCTCCTCATTACTGAAGAAGGCTAGTAATGCATATGTACATTTACAAACATTAAACTGATCAACAGAAACATGAGCATGATTTGCTGTCAGTCTTAAGCCTTGTTTAAACTTATCCGTCAGCTCGGGTGCAGAGTAGTGCACACGCATCAACGGAGATGTCCTTTCAGACCTCTCCATTTCCCTGGAAGTGTTGCAAAGCAATTCCCCAAAAGGACAGCAGAGGGCGTAGCACATTTGCGGGTGGGTTCTGCCACCACTGCAGTCACGTCCCTGGTGCATGACACAAATACTATTATTGTCTGTGTATTTATATTGTGTTATGTATGTAAGAGACTTTTTAACATGGACACATTTGTCCCTGATTCTCCTCCACCTCGTCATGCAGTCAGCCACCTCCATTGAAAGTGTGTATCTATGTGCTTTTCTGAATGAGGGGTTGCATAAACGTTCTTATTGTCTGACTTTTTCTGTGAGACATCTCCGATCTGCTCTGTGTCTACCGCTACACATGCTCGGCACTCATATTTTCTTGCTGCTGTGGATGAATTTAAAGGTAGTGGTGTGCTGTCCAATCAGGTGCTTTGTGACATCCACAGCTTTTGAAAGGAAGTTCAGAAATAGGGCCTGCCCCTCTGTGGGCCTGTCACACAGGCATTAATGGATGAGGACGTTGCGGGTCTTTGTACCCCCACAGATGGAGAAGTAAAAACCTGGCTTTACTTTAGTCCCCCCCTCAATCACTTGGAAGTACCTCCACAAGACATCAGGTGCTCCCTGGCTGCTTTAATACTGCTGCAGTTCAATTCAATTCAAGTTTATTTATAAAGCGCCAAATCACGACAAGAGTCGTCTCAAGGCACTTCACACAGTAAACATTCCAATACAGTTCAGTTCATTAAGCCAATCAGGAAAACGTTTCCTATATAAGGAACCCAGGAAATTGTATCAGTGACTTTACAGCAATCCTCATACTAAGCAAGCATTTAGCAACAGTGGAGAGGAAAACTCCCTTTTAACAGGATGAAATGTCCAGAGGATCCTGGTTCAGTATAAGCAGCCATCCACCACGACTCACTGGGGCAGACAGAGCAGACACACACACCAACACCAGCCCACCCACACACACAACATATATACCAAGTAATATTTCTATGGTTACATTGTGATTTCTTAGTAAATATTATATTTGGCGAGAGATAAACTTTATTGTATTTATCCTAGTGAATCTATAATTAAACGGGTAAACTAGTTGTATGTCAAAGAAAGTAAAATGTTATTATCAGGAGAGGGAGAAAGTTTAAGTGGTTAGCAGTAGTGTTCAAGCCGATGGCCCCCTCCATGAGGCCACCACAGCTCAGCAGAACATCATTGTAGCTTCTTCTAGGGAGAAAAATACTTTTTTATTTATTTTTTTTAATTAAGAGCTTTATATGTGAGAAGAAGGATCTTAAAATCTATTCTGAATTTAACAGGTAGCCATTGTAGGGAAGCTAAGACAGGAGAGATATTCTCCACCTGGAGTGGACGCTGGCGCGTTTTTGCAGCCGCTGCTCACTGGTGATTTTAACGTGATTTTATCGTGTTTTACTTTTTATGGAGCACTAGATTGTAGTAGTCCTAAGTGGGTGCTATATTTTTTCTGCCTCCCTTGGACCCTGTTTGGTTGTCAGTTTGTTGTTTGGGTGTACAAGCGGACTAAACCTACCTCACTCCTCCCGGCTGTTGACCCGCTGCTATCGGCTAGCTGCCCACCACTGTTCATCATGTGGACCTGCAAGTTATTTATCTGGTTGACCCTCCTCTGGTCTGCCCTGTCCCTTCTCCTCCAACCTGGGGCAGCTCTGTTCCAGTACACGGCGGCTGATCTCCTCCTGCTACGCGGGCATCTCTCTGTGCCTCCGCCGGTAGCATTACAGCTCCACCCGGAGATCGTCCTTCCTCCCCGCCGGAGATACATCCATCGTGGGTCTCGCCGTAACTTCCAGCTGGATAACTCTCACTCAATCACCTCATACTGGTCCACAACTCGTCGTCCTCGCCTCAACACTGGCCGGACTGCGGACCTTGGCTCGCTAGCCAGCCTGGCGAAGACAGCAACCTCCAACCACAACAACACCGTCAACTTCGGCCTCCTGAATGTCCGCTCTCTCACAAACAAGGGTCAGCTCATTCAGGACCTCATCACCGACCATAGACTGGACTTCATCGGGCTCACGGAGACCTGGCA